CAAACTGTATCCTTTTCCGCACCCTGCACGAGAATATTTTTCCATGCAAATAGTAGATTGACGAGGTGCCGGCGTAGACTCGCTCATCTCGAGCAAATGGTTTACATATGATGTCAAAGCCCACCTCAACGCATACACACTCTTTCTGATAACGTTACTGTGGCGTTGTGGGCCCAGGACGGTGCATGTATGCGCGAGGGACGTCGTCGACACGAGGTGCGAGATCGTTCTTACTTACCAATTCTGGACGGTCGGCATCAGCTCGTGACACGGGCGCCAGACGGTACTCCCGTGAGGCGCCTCCTGATACGCACATTCGACAGTCAACTCCTCGCTGCAGTCCCTCGTCCTCTGCATCGCGCTACCATCCTACCTAGCTCCTAGGCGACCGAGTAATCTCCCTTCTAGTTGACGCGTGACTCCTAGTGAAACGGGGCAGTGGTAATCCTTCTAATTCTCTCGAGATGTTTGAGCCTGTGCGGGGAGGGACTCGTGGTGGACACGCCGAGTTCAAGTGGTCAGACGTTGCGCAAGACAAGGATCGCGAGGTATGTTCGTGTTTGTGATGAATGATAGCGCCTACTGAACTTGTTGGCATTTGCATAGAACTACCTGGGTCATAGTATCAACGCGCCTGCCGGGCGATGGCAGAAGAACAAGGATATTCACTGGTATCAGCGGGAAGCAGCCCAGACAGAAGCAGAGCGGCAGGAGGAGATAAGAAGGATCAAAGAAGCTGAGGCTGATGCGCTAGCAGCTGCACTGTGAGTGTAACGGGACTCCTGATCCGTGGGGACCATGTTAACAAGGGTACAGTGGCTTGCCACCGGGCACTCGACCTCCTGGGATGGAGGGTACAGGCTCTGGCACAGGTGCGAACGCCATTGCTGTTGCACCCAAGGCGGGAGCTTTGGACGACCTCGACCCCGAGAAGGAAGAACGCCGCCGGCGCAAGGCGCAAAAGAAAGAGGAGAAGCGGCTGAAGAAGGAGAAGAAGCGCGCCGAACGACGCAAAGAACGAGGCGACGTCTCAAGCGACGACGAGGGCTCGCGCAGGCGACACCGGTCTCACTCTCATTCATCCCGAAGACGGGACCACTCACGTACACCGTCGCCCCGTCGGAGGGACCGTTCTCGCTCGCGCTCTCCGCCACGGAGGGCCCATTCTCCCGGTCGTTACGACAGCCATAGGGATATGGGCCGTGGCCGGAGCCGGTCAAGGAGCCCACCCGTGCGCCGAAGGGTCGATGATCGGAACTATGACGAAGAAGAGCGTCTTAGAGAGCGCGAGAGGGATCGCCGACGTTGGGAGGAGAACGCCAGAAGGGACCAGCCTGGGTCGCGGTGGGGAAGGCACTGAGTCGTTCTGTATGTGTTACGTTCATTGTTCTATCTGACATTTGATGCTTCCCGGATTCCTGTATTGCTATACCAGACAGGGTGCTACATGCCTTGTTTCCAAACGTTACAGCGCACCACCACCGGTGCTCCTATCTCCGTACAAGAAGTGGTGGCCAACAAGTGAAGCCCTTGTTCTCGTAAGATTTTGACACCTCCGCGCTCGACAATCGGGACTCTCATCGGGCTAGGAACCAAACTAGCGACGCGGGAGCGTTGTCGAGCTCAGCTGGCTGCTACCTTTCACCACTTTCAGCTGACGCTGCACCATCAGAACGCTGAACTGGCAGTACTCCCTCTTCGCCTGCCCTTCACATCGTCAATGTATCTCGGTTTCGCGGAGTTCTGACTGGAGACGACTTCTAGGCCTTCCGTCGCGGGTATGCTGCGTATTGGTCCCGCGGCTGTCACTTTCTGCGTCGCCGGCCGTTGCTTCGCGCTTAGGACAGGACATTGTCATCGCGAAGGGCTGTCCCGATGACAAACGGTGATTGCGCATGGTGGGGGAGAAGGTGAGATTGATCACCGCGCAGCCGTTGCAAATGATAGAAACGGCTTCTCGCTCGTTCCGGCGGCGGTCGCGTCGTAACCGAATTGGCAAGAACGCGCCCCCAGGTGGTACGGGCCCGGCGCGTGTATCGTCGGAGTCAACACCTCCCAGTAGTCTCCCGGTGCATACGCGACTGCGCTGCGCGGTGTCATGCCGTGCCTGTGCAGGGTCGCGCGCCGTGCGGTGACCGGCCGCGAGCGCGGGCGTGATCGTGAAGCCCGTAGCTTCAGCCATCGACGTAGGCGGGGTGCTAACGCGGCCTCACCAAGACCCGCTTACGCAGAAAAGAGGTCAAGAGAGCGGTCGCGTCTCAGGTTGCGCTCTGAATGGTTATATGTATCTTCTGGGCGGAGGTCAGGGTCCGATTTCTACGGAATTGGAGACGGCGTGGAACATGATGCTCATGAAGAGCACGAACTCCGCGACGATCCACGGCTAGAGGGGACCTCAGAGTGATCGTTCCTTCCCCACCTATTCCCAAATATCGCATCTTGTGGTTGCTGATGTATTGCGAAGTTGTGAAGGTGGTGGATGCCGTTAGAGCTTGAAGACGCTGGAGTGTGCAAGACGCGCACGTATACATTAGCCAGCTTCGCCCGCCGTCCTACGACGTGTTGCAGCCGCTGCGCGGTGACATGTTATGACGTGAATGAGCGGAACTTGTCCGCTTTCATATGTTTGCGCGGGCATGTGGCTAGGGATACCCGAATACGGCCTGGACATGCATGGACATGCGGGCTGCGACGCGTGGTACGCCGAATGTGTTTCAGGACATGTAAATGGTGGCAACGACGCACATCGTCATGACAGTCGGTGAACATGCACATCGACCCTTGTGGCGGGAGAACTTGGACGGACGGGCCGACGCCGCACAAACGCATGCGGCTGCGGTGCGGCGATTGTTTGGAGGCTCGATGCGTTTCGCGTTCTCGAGGCGGACGGTGACAGCAGATGAAGAAGTTCGGCGCGCTCAGGAAGTTGCTAATCTGTGACACTTGGAAGCATGCTTGTTGTCATCTCAAACTCTGCGTGGTCGATGTTGTCTGCGCGGAGTGATTTCTCCGACTGTCGACGGAGCTTCGGAGGGCGGTGGCCATGCATCTAATTGCTAAGAATGACCTGTGGGTAGGCTAGCCAAGAAGTGCGTCAGTGTACTGCATCACGTCTGGGTCTGGCTTGGAAGGAGGAGCGCGGTTGTCATCGCACTCGGCGACGCGGGCGCAGATCTATGGCGGCAAGATCAAGCAAATATGCGTGCAGGCGGCGGCGGCGGCGGCGGCGGCAGCGGGAAGGAGGCTCGGGTTCGGAGTTGTGTGCGCGCGTTGGCGAGAGAAGGGTGGAAGAGCGCAAGGGGCGGAGGGGGCCTTGACCAAATGCGGACTAGGCCCTGGACTGTGCAGTAGCCGCGGCTCGCGTTCGCGTTCTCGTTCAGACAACGACCTCCTCCGACTCCGAGTCGCCGTCCAGCGCGAGTCTGTTCCTTGTCGAGCCACCGGTTATATATTCCTCTCATCGTCCCTCCTTTGCCCCCCTACTTCCCCCGCTAATTTTTTCTCAGCCGACCACTCCCTCCAGCTTCCGCCTCCGTCACACCACCTGCATTCGTTCTCTGCACTCTACTTCAATCATTCTAATACTCGCTTTTTCCGTCCTCTGTCTCTCCGCACTCGTTCTACCATTCCTGCATAATAATCTCTCCTCTCCTGCCACACGTCCGCCAGTCCATCCACCCGTCCCCGCACCAACATGACCAACTTCGGCTTGCCTTACTTCCTCCAAGACACGACCGGCCGCATCACCGGCTCCGAGTTCGTCGACCTCCATGACCGCATGCGCCTCAGCCTCAGGCAGACTCTCCGCGACGCGCATCGCGTTGCGTACGTGATTTACGACACTTCTTCTCGTCTCCTCGTTCCGCTCGCGACCCTCGACTTTGGCCCGAACAATGCCTTGGGCACCATCAAGATTGGCAATGGAGAGCACATTCCTATGGGACAATACTTGGCTAGGTCCGGAAGGTATGTCACGGTCCCATCCGTCAGCCATGAAATTACCGCTAACCCGTCTCTCCCCGTGCAACAGCGGAAAGTCGCGTAAATTCAGAGCGTCCGACGGTCAGGACTACCGCTGGACGCTCCAGTCCGATGGTGACTGGCAGGTGAGACTGGCGTCGTGTGCATCGCCGAGGGCAGTCCGTGTCTGACTGATCTTTGCAAATAGTGTACCAACGCGAGGAGTGGCTACCACATCGCGACATACAGCATGAAGCCCGCGGGAGAGCCGCAATATACAAGCTCATCGGGCTGTATGCTTACTGTAGAAGAGGCCTATCCCCATCTCGTTGGCGGTGCGTTGGACCCTTCCGCTAAAATATGTAGATCCCTGGAGCGTCGTTGACTGACGGTGTCTCTCCGCAGAGCTGCTCGCGTCGCTGACTATCATGCGCCATATCGAGCAGCACAACCTGTGAGCCGGGCTCCGCCCAGGCGGCGTCCAGAGCCGGGTCCACGGACGTTATGCCATTCGGACACTCCCACCTCCCGTGCACCATCGCCCCCGCCCCCGCCCTGTCTGTCACTTGCTATCGATACAGCTTGCCACCACTACGATCCATACAGTATTCACGGTGGGCCCCGCCGAGGCCGGGGCCTTTTCGCTACCCTACCTACGCTCCGTATAATCAGTACCTTCAGTAATTCGCCACGTCGTCGTCGGCTCTCGTCTACCCCCCGCCTAATACACGAAAGTAGCATACATAATGTACGCCTATGTATACTTGTCACCATTACCGTAGATAGTCCGACCGCTGGCCATCTTGCGCTCGTATGAACAGTACCACTCGTCTTACCTTAGCCTAACACTATATTCCTCTGTACAAATTGTTCAATCTACTGCATCAACGCTGCTAGTACAGTAACTCTCAATAAGAGTACATCGCACCATGGGCACATAAGCAACTCTTCACCCTTGTCAACTCGTCTCAAGCATTAACACGGTTTTTGTACCAGACTTGACAACGTGATAGGGAAAAAAAGGCGAATAACAAAATAAATGCCAGGAGCGTGGATTGAACACGCGACCTCCAGAACGCCACAATTCGCTTCAGTCTGTTGCTCTCCCAGCTGAGCTATCCCGGCTGACTAGGAAAGGTTAAAGGCTATGCCATATGTTGGCATACACAAAAGCTTACGTCGCTATAAAGCCACCTACAGCCCTTTTGTAACCCAGAATATCATCTCTAAATAAGTCAAACACCCCAATATAAACAGCCATACTGTAAGATAGCCTATGATTGAACTAACATCAATATGAGGGATGATCGAATTGTGCTTGACGATGTCTCTCAAAAGCGGTTTATATTGGGGTGTTTGACTTATTATATGTTGGCATACACAAAGGCTTACAGTCGCTATAAAGCCATCTACGGCCCATTTCTTACCAAGACTATTAAGATTCTATGCCATACAGTATAATCCTATCGATCATAGGCTATTATACAGTATAGCTTAGAATCTTGAACGAGTTGTGCATGACGATGTCTCGGACGAATGTTCTTCTCGTACGCTTCACCAGTTCCCCGATACACAAGCCTGTCATAATCACAGTAGCCTTGCACAATGCAAGCTGCCGTAGTGACCGGGTATGTTTGTCGCGCTTTCGAGTGGATAAAGTCGCTGAAACAAGTCCACTAATAGTGATGATTGCTTCCTCCTTGGACCTTGTCAGCATTTGCGTGCATTAATTCTTTAGTCGCAGGAGGTTGCTACAATGCCGTGTGTTGCACTATATGCTGTGGCACCATAATAAGTGACCATCCATCGGAGGGCAATGTGATCGTCTCATCGACTCTGAAACTCCGAGATGCCGTCAAAGCCTCCCCGCCACTTTCGAAGCTTGGTCGGCTTTGGAATCTCTTAGTTTGAGTCCTTACGAGATTTATCTATTATCAGGCTTCTCTGCCTCGCCGGACGTATCGGTGGGTGCCCTCATCACCTTACTAGATGCTGATTCGAATCGGAGCAGCCATCCATAACAATCATCCCGCGATGGTCCCTGGGCACAGGCCATTCCGCTGACGCTGAGGTGGTACGAAGGGTAGGTTTTTCCCTGGCTGCTATACTTCCCGCGGCTGTGCAAGGAGATTGATGCGGCTCCTTCGGACGGACTCTCTCAGTCCGCTCGGGCGCGAGGAGTCCGCGCTGCGAATCGCTCTTCTCGCACGAAACCTCATCTAGCAGCGTGGCATGGTATGATGCTTCCCGCGGCTCATTGGGCTCCTCATCTCCGCTCGCCGCTGCCGCATCCGCACCATGATGGAGACTGCGCGATCCTCGCGGCGTCTGTGTGACCGGGAAGGCGCGTGAGTTTCCCAGTGGGTGGTGCGGAAGCGCGCCCAAGAGTTCTATCTGGTCGAAGTTGTGGGCGCGGGGGTTGAAACGTGCGGCAGATTGCTGGATGGCGAAGATAGCTCACTGCATGGAAGCGGCTTGTTGTTGCCATGAAGCTTCTACTCTGGTAGCAGGATGAGGTATTGCCCTGACATCCTGTGTATCGCGCAAATGCCCGTCACCGCGAATGCTTCTTCCGCGGTCCACCGGACGAGAGTTGCATTCCATTAAAAAAGGGTATGCGTTAATAGAACAGAGTATCAAAGGATATCAAGGAGGGTAAGCATACAAGGGAAACGAGCTGCCGAAGGGTATATGGTATATATCGGACGAGCGAGGTGGTGTAATGGTCCGGACGTAGATAGCAATGAGCGTGGAGGAATGATACACAGTCACATAGGCTACAGACATTCGTGAGAAACAAGGAACGGGAGGGTATGACGGTGGGGATGTGAAGAGCGAACAGTAGCGACGACGTAAGTATACACGAGAACTTCCAAGCTTCGCAACGGCACTTTGGATCAGAGGGCACGCCTTGCGCGTTCAGCGATGGAGGATGGGCGGTAGATTGGCTTCGACGGGCGGTGGAGGGTGAAGGCCTGCGGAGACGCACGCGTTTGCCACTTTACGACGGAGCTCGTCCCGGTTAGAAGCCTGCACTACGGTCGAGTACCATCACCGTGTGATTTAGCATACCGCGGATGGATCGAGAACAAGTCGGGACATACCTGGACAAGGCCAGAGGGCATTGAGGACGTCCAGAGGTACAAGGAATGCTTTGGCCAATTCGAGAGCGCCCTGCAAAGAGCGGTTGTAGTCCCACAGGCTGAGGCAAATTGCTACTTGGCTTGAGAACCATGTTGCTAGAAACGGACGACGGGAGAGCACATGTCCCTCCGTTTCACCAAGGCCAAGCACAGAATCTTTGACGCGTGTAGCGACCTGCTTCTGGTAGAAAACTACGAGTGAGGAATCCGTTAGAGAACAACCGTTGCGGTGAGGTGCATATGATAAACACTTACGCCATTCCTCGGCCTGACGCCGGTCAACCGTAACCGGTACAACGTCACTACCATCCTGTAGTCTGCTAAAGCCGTTCAGGGTTGAGAATGATGCGCAGGCTCGGAATACCTACCGGCGGAGTTCGTACGTAATAGCCATACGAGTGCTGTACAATAGAAGAGGGCAGGAAGACGTCAGTAAAATGATTTCTCTTGCCACGGAAGAGGCCGCAGACGTACTCGTAGAGGTATTCCCGGCAGACGTACATCAGGCCAGTGTCGAGGTTGCACACGTGCATTTTGAGCGCGTCCTGCACTTCACGAGTCTCCTGGAAGACATCGATAGCGAAGTTGGCCCGTTCCTCCGTAGTGAGCGTTTCGTCGCGCTGAACGCAACTATTCCACAGAAGCATGCTGCGGCAGTATAGCGCCCATATGGATTCTTTCGGCGACTGGCCAGATGCCTGGTGGTGCGCAGGCATGCGCTCATAGGCTTCGCCCGGGAAAAGGAGTGCATACTATCAGATGGCGAAGCCCAAGCCCATCAGCGCTTGAGACTGTACAAAGAAGGTTCATCAGACGTACGTTGGAAGGATTCGCGAGCGTCAACTCCATAGGCTCGATGTGGAAGGCGGAGCAGTACGCAGTATGGTTGGAAACGAGTGTGAGCGCGCACCAACAGAGCCTCCGGCACTCCTCCTTGCGAATCTCTGTCTCGGACCAACGCGGATCCCATGGGGGATTGAGTGAATACGATTGCGAGAGGTGATCTTGCACCAATGGTGAAGTAGGACTGCTCGGGTACCCGATGCACGAACAGCGCTCGGGTCGTCTGTAACCACTAGGCATGTCCACTACTGGTGCCAAGCGTGGTTGAAAGGAGCTAGCGTAGGGATCGTCGTGGTCGATGGACGTAAGTGAGAGGACGTGTATGATGCGATCGAGTAGCTGCAAAGCATTGTTAGCCCTTTCCGGGGAGTAGAGTGGGTGAGCTGAGGATTCGAAGAGGGCCATGATCTGGTATGCCGAAATCACAGTTATATTAGCCATGCCATGCGCTTGAAAAGCAAGTGCAGTACGCACGAGAGCAGCTTCAGCCAGAGTATAGTCAAAGGTTTGGCTGCGGCATGCTATCTCCAAGCAAGCTTGAGCGCGGCTGTGGAAGGAGAGTGCCAATTCTCGACCGCGAGCACCGTACTCAATGTCGCTGGACTTCATCAGTGTAGCCATGGCAAGAGCAGACATTATCAGCGGCTGCATATGACCACGGATAGTAGGGTCGTGCAGATCGCGGAGGAATATGGGTAAACAAATGAAGGAGAGCCAGTAGCTGGTTGTCGTGAATCTACAGAGCGTTAGTGATCAGGATCCCAGTCGTGGACTGTAATATGGATGTGAAGGCATACAAGAATGTCAGATCAGAAGCGATGTCTTTCAAGCTGGCACATAAGAATGATCAACGTCAGTCGAAGTGCATTTATCTGGGCAAAACGTACGATTGTTCGCGGGACGTAGGATTATACTGATCGAGGAGTTCGTCCCACCAAGAGTCGGGACCATAGTTGAGAGAAGAGAGTGAAGTATACGAAGGCCTGTCTTGTCCGTGTTGCTGTCGGGATATATTAACATCGATAGGACGAGCGAATGATTTGGTCGAGTCCGGGAAGTCCATGATCACTGAAGAGCGACGAAACGATGGTGAGAGCTCATCCTACCGTCGACTGAATAAATACTCGTCGTCGAATACCATTCCTCAAGCAGAGTAGATGAGAGAGCTCACTTTAGGGTATATTGCGTCGGGACCTGTGCCGCGAGGAGGAATCGAAGTGTCGATGTACAACGATGCCTGCGGCGGCCCATGAGTTGCGTTCATGTCATCCATTGCACCTCGCGACGAGTATTGGGCATTTCTGGCGCCGCCTGTTACGTTCTCCTTCACATTGATATCGAACGAGAGCATACCGCTCTCACCCTCTGCATTAGTCTTCCGCTTCTTCCTTGCTGAGGCAGAGGCAGGCTCTGCGTCCGGAGGACGCTTCTTGCATGAGCGTTGTCTGGTCCCGGGTCGTTTGTCAGGACCCCGTCGCTTCGGTACAGCGTCGTATTCGCATTCGTTGTTCCGTCTCAGGCAATTATGACAAAACGGTCGAGTCGAGTCGCAACGAATCTTCCTTGCTCGACTAGAATGTCAACAAATTCAGGGACTGGCTATGTAATTTGAGAGCATGAGGCAATATGGACGCACCATTGCCGACAAGCGATGACGACGTTGGATGCCTCCCTTCTGGGTGGACGACTCTGCGTGGCGTTGCTGCTCGACGGATTGGTCCTGGCGGAACCAGAAGCAGACGGCAAGGTGATCTGAGGTTTCGAGTCGGCGGCAGGCATCCCGGCAGAGTGTCTGGGAGGCAACGGTGGCAGAGCCTCGCCGGACATTCTGAGATGTTGCTCTGGAAGCCTCGCCTGGGATAAATGCATCGAATATTCGGAAGGAGAGGGCATGACACCTGACTGAAGACGAGACGACGGCCCACCCAAATCGAGCATCGGGTGTCCATGTAGCGAGAGGTCGGTCGACGGATGGTGAGGCGGCGGGAGATGATGGTGAATGGTCGTCGGGCTCGGCATTTGTAGTGTATCCAAGAAGTGGGGATCTCGGGCCTGCGGGTCCACGCCCGGCGCGGAATAGCGAGCGTCAAATGTCGATGGAGGCGGTAGTAGCTGGTTGGCAGCGTCGTCGAAGTGACC